AGTGTTTTATTTTGTTATAGTTATAGATTTGTCAATTTTAAACCCTTAAAATACTTTTTTTTTTCTTTTTTAAGGTTACACTAAAAAGAAAACTTTGTTTTTAAATTTCAGAAACAATGCATCAAATTGTTGTAATAAAGCAAGTATTTATAAAGTACCAACTCATGATGACAATGAAACCTTGTAGAGAATGAGTCTTGTGATCATACTCGATATTCAAATGATAAACTCGTGCTAATGCTTTTATTTCCTTGTCATCAAAAAGCAATGTCATCCATAGATTTATACTACCAACCTAACCACTAATAACCGTTACGTATGGATCAATCAAATATACTGTACTTAGCTTTTAAGATTGAGGTGTTGTAAATATGTATATCACGAAAATGATTTTAATTATACATATGAATTGAGCATGTTTTAATTCCTATCCCCACAACATTTTTGGCATTATCGAATGATTTCATTGAGGGGAATATTATAAAAAGCTCCTGTTTTCAAATATTGCAGTGATGTCAAACTCGCGGCCCTCAAATTGATCTTAAATGGCTCGAAACAGCTTTAGAACATTTCTTTGGAAATATGTTTTTAAACGGAATATATTGGTTCAACATTGTTGGGAAAACGCGTGAAAGGAAGAGAAATTGCATCATGGATAAGGGGAAGGTCACAAAATCTAAAGATAGTCAATTCAGGTATTGGAATTGCAGAGTGTATGCCCGCCTGTAATATCATGACTTTGGGGAAAAGTACCCGATATTCAGAGATCGGAGTTTGGGACGTTCAATGAGTAGAAATTAGAAAGCAGCATGCAAGCCGTATTTATTTTTTTTTAAATACAATTCAGTCAGTTGGGAATTATGAGAGACGGTAGGAACAAATCTTAGATGGAATTTTTTATTAAAGAATCGAAGAATACGTGGTACCATGAATTCTGGATGACGCATGTTTCATCTGATGAATTTTCAAATCTATGGAAATGTTGTAACTTAAAACTGATCATGTTTTTTGTTTGTTTTGGAAGCATCTACGTATGTAACTGTATTCTATATAAATACTGACATTTAGCCCAGAAATTGTAAATCTTCGACCGGTGAACATTTAGAACAGCTTATGTGGCCACTGCTACTGAGAACTGCCTCAAGTAAAGAAAAAATAAACTACAAGTCAAAGCCAGATATATATCCTTTAAATATTGAAATCGTTCTTATTCGCTTTATTATATTCTTGCTGACTCGATGCTGTTGGATCATGATTCTTTATATATAACTTATAAATTTAAGTGTAAAAACGTGAATAATTTTCTTAAAAAAATATTTTTTTAATTTGTATATGTCTTTTTAGATTTTATGAGTCCCATGGCTTTGCGACAAATTTTTGTTTGACCCATATTCTTAAAGGTTACACAACACTGAAATAGTGTGTCTATGTTGCTGTTATAAATTTGATTTTAATTTACGAAAGTATTAATTTTTTTATATATAATTAAGCTGCTGTCATTTTGAAATTATACTATATACAATAGTATCATAAATAAAGTGATTCTATGGATGGTTAAAAATATTTTTGCTCTATTTTTTTAATGCAAATTTAAGTATTTAAATCAAACGTAACAGATAATATGTTTTCAAAATTTAAGCAAATTTGCATGAATATCTTCTCCAGGGAAAAAGGTCACTGATGCAGAGGAATTTATTCAGTTGGTCTAACTGATGTTTTGTTTTTTTTTCATTTGAAGCATCTTTTACAATGCTTTTACTACAGCATGCAGCAAAACTAGCAGTACTGACATTCTTAAGTGAAAACGATTCTTTGTTAATAAGCAGTTATTTTTGAAAATGGGTCTCTCTACGGAAGAAAGTTTATTCATAGTTTAGCAATATATTCGCTCATACGTAAGTGAAAGCAAATGGTTACCGTGTTTGAAAAATGTGGAAGAGCCTTTCCGATAGAGATGATTTAAAAAAATATAATTATGCGTTACACCAAGTAGCACGGCTCTGGAAAGGTACTCTTTCAACAGAAATGGAAATCTGGTCGGCTTGGAAGTATATATGTGATGTTCTTTGGAGAATCACAAATTCCTATAAAAATCAAATCCTCGTATGCAATTGCTAGAAATTTCAAAGATACATTATCTTGGCTGATATATCTGGTTATTCTAACCTGTTTCGGTAATAAAGTGTACCTATGCTCTTCAAGAATCATTTAACGTACTTATGGTAATTTTCAATTTGAACTATTTTTCTCGTATTTCTCGTAGGGGCGAATGCAGTAACTTTTTGAAAAACGGTAGAGTTTCTCATTATCGAGACATTTACTTATTGACCAGACGTTATATCCTTTGACACAACATACTTCCAAAACTGGGAAATTTCGTAACAAAAGACACATGTCTGTGGTAATTTGGTGGCGTCTTATGAAATCTATCTTTGAATTGTTGTGCCATTTGTTTTCAAACATCGTTACCCGTCACAATCACTTAATTCCTCACGTATGAGCGAATATAGTTCTCAACAATAATTTTTTTCCGTCCCTAGAGAGAACCATTTCCAAGAACTGCCCAATACAAACTTATTGATATTTCTGTAAAGAAGAGGCAGTTTGAGCTATGCACCTTTGACTGACGCACGTACGCATTCACAATGCCTGAACTTTAGTACGGTACCGGTACAGTTATTTTGGCCGCAATACTGTCTCTTTATACTTTTTAAAAGATGTAAATGTATGATTGCTTTTTCAATCAGAACTACTTGTATGTTGTCTCGCATTTTTTGTACTTTTGTTGTTTCTATGATAATTATATACAGATTATCTGAATCAAAAAAAAAATGTGTTCAAATTTCATTGTTAATCCTTTGTTTTAACTGAGATACATGTCTTCAAAAAAAAAAAAAAGAAAAGAGAGTTGTTGGTTGATTTTACACTTCCATCTATTCTAAAGTTTCATATGTAATTTTCTTCCACTATTTCCTTTTTAACGTATTTCAAAGACTTTGCTCTTTTCCCTGGAGTGCGTACTTTTCTCTGGAATTATTTATTTCCCATTACTAAGCTGTAGTGCTATTGTTATTGTACTCAGTGGCGTACTAAATTCCACCTGTGGGGAAACGTTCAAATGTCGCCACTCAACATACATCTACTATATATATATATATATATATATATATATACATAATATATTAAATACTATTTTATTATATAAATGTAAAACGATTATATTCGATGAAATTCGTTAAGTTCTAACTTTTCGTTCCGTGTTCCATTCCTCTCTACTTTACATCGAAAAAAACATGATCAAAAACGTTAAATTAAAAAAAAGTTTATGAAATAAAAAATGTACATGAGCACGTTACTTGCGAATTGACACGATGAACAGAAGTCATCCATTGACTGATGTTTTTTTTTTCTTTTAAAGTGGATTTTTTTTTAGTAATCAAATGATTAACAGCCATGTAACGTTTTTTGGATTATTGTTTTGTCACGAAAACAATGGTTTTTTATGTTTGTTTTGGTTTTTTCCCCAATCCGGTCTTTGTTACAAGTGTCACAAAAGAATCACTAATTTAAATCAGAAACAGCATGAGTTTATCATTTTCTATTTGTCTTTAATATCAATTGTATTTTTTATAATTCATTTATCCAATTCATTTAAGTTTGTTGTTTTTTTTAATATTTTCCCAATATGTTATAATTATTTTGTGAGTATTGCGTAGTTTATCTTTAACATTTTAAAAGAGAACATATTTTACTAATTTTAATGACAAACATGAAATAATGATTTTCCATTTTGTTTCAATTCATTTAATATTTAAAGGTTTTGGTTTTTCTTGTTGTTTTTTTTAAAATAATATTTATGTGAGGGTGACTATCGTTAACTGACAATAAACAATCTTCTAACTAAATAAAAAATATAGTTAAATGAAAGGTAAAACATGAAAAATTAAAATAATTTTTGAGGAACAAAAAAAGAACACACCTTTGAAATGTTCAAATGGAAATGGAAGCCTTTTTGGTTTTCTGACAAAATTTCAAGTTTTTGTTGTCTTTTTATTATTTGTTTCATTCTTGAATATTTGTTCTTCTATTTGCATAGTGTTAAAAAATGCATTATTTTTAAAATGAAAATACCTGTAACACTTTTTTGCTATATGTTCTGTCTACTGCATCTCAGATTGACAAAGACCTGGAATAATTTTTTCGTCAGTGACTTTGTAGTTTTTTTTTTTAAATTATGTTTTATAAGAACTATAAAAGTGAACCCATAGTTATGTATAACCAATGTTTATATCATATTTTTTTAGTTTAGTCAGCAGATTCCACTCTCCCTTGTTGGAGACGAGGGAACACTTAGTGGATTGCAAAGCTTGGCACGAAGAGTTGTTTCAAGAGTGAATGGAAATTTTCATTGAATTAATGTGTCAATACGGCATTCTATCCTGGATTTTTTTTTATTGCTATCAGTGTTTCCTTCTCTTAGGTGAGATTTCACCCACTATAAGGAGTCCCGTCAACTTGAAGTGCTGGTGATGTCTCTGCTTCTCTGGCTTTTGATGGGTTCAAAACGTTTTGACCGCACTTTTCATTAATACAGGTTGACATGCTACAGATGCGGACGATGCAAGTGGCTTTATTTGCTTTCATTACCAACTTAATTTTGATTAATTTACAAAAAAATTGCATTAAAAATCATCAACCTTTTAAATGTTTCCAAGCCTCCTATTGATATCATTTTGGGCGCAGTTTTTTTATTTGCTATTGAAAGAGGTTATACAGCCTACAAATTGTGTTAAGATAATTGTTGCCAATCACTGATACAATTTTTTTTCTCCGAAAATCAGCTTTTCGCTCAAAAGTTATGATTGTTTCTTTTTTTTTTTTTATATATTTATTTCAAGGAAAGGAAAGCCATTGAATATTTTTATGAGCATCTCATTCATTCTATATCTGTTGTACTGATCCCTTGATAGACCAGAACGTAGAGGTATTACTTTGTATCCCGAAAACTTGAATAGTTCGAAAAGCTCCATGAAATGCTTATAACGATCTCACACGCCAAATAACAAAATTAATTATTAATATCCTTAAACAGATATATTTATTCCACTTCTGTTGATACGTAAATCATGTTTTTATATTTTTTCATATCATATAATAAGATGTGTTCGATTTTGAAATAGTATTTGAAGGTAAACTGAGTGGTAGATATAATCACAAGAAAGTTCTGAGAGAAAGAGCGAAGAAAAAGAGAGAACAGAGTTAGATTGTTAAGTCGGTGTTACAGCATTTAGAAATCCACACTCCATTCTGGATTTGAAATCAGTGTTGTAAAATTCATTAAAATAATTTTGATCCTCATAAGGATCAGAGAGATTGTAATATATGATTAAGGCAAGATGTACTGATCTAGACAATTTATAATCAATGGTAGGTTCAGTTGATGGAATGTGTTACAATGTAGTAGCTCAAGCAATGTTATTGATTCATGAAATGAAATTGTATTTTTAAAATATTTTTTTTTATATTTTCTTTTCAAATATAGTTAAAACCTGTTCCACCTCATTGTATATATTTATTTTTATTTACTGTTACTCAGTGCCGTAGCTAGGGTTAGTTTTGCATTGGGCGGGCCAAGATTTTTATTGGCACCCTCCACGCAGGAAAAAAAAAAGTCGCTTCACAGTATGAGGAAAAAAATTCCGCCCCCCCCCCTCCCCAACCCTGTCTCCCGCGCCACGTCTTTCCTAAAACATTGAAGAAAACCAATAGCATTCATTTATGTTTTTTATTTTTATTTACTGTTACTCAGGTCCGTAGCGAGGGTTAGTTTTGCATTGGGCGGGCCAAAATTTTTATTGGCACCCCCCACGCAGGAAAAAAAAAAAGTCGCTTCACAGTATGAGGAAAAAAATTCCGCCCCCCCCCCTCCCCAACCCTGTCTCCCGCGCCACGTCTTTCCTAAAACATTGAAGAAAACCAATAGCATTCATTTATGTTAGGACATTGTTCTTTATTAGTCTTCTATCATATTTTACGTCTTCCCTAAATCATGACATTTTCAATGGTTTCATATTCATTGTTCTTCGATGTTGTGTTTCTTTTATCTGCACTGTTCCCATTGTTAGTCGCCGTACTCGTTCTGCCCACCGTCTCGTAGGTGTGCAGCTCTTCATTAACATTGCTATCGCCATTCCCGTCAATAATTTCAACGTATCTGTGTTCATTGTCAACGTACTCTCGCTGTACATGGCCAATTCTTGCTGAATTGATGTTTGCATCACCACTATCTAATAAATATTAAATATATACATATATGTAAAAATGAGGTGTAGTAACATAAACACCAAAGAACCAATACATTTTAAGCACGTTCGGATTCCTAAAAACAATCATAGTTGTTTTCTATTATTTTACGGAAATCGAATAAATTTAAATGCGCAAAAAAATATTTTAAATTCGCTTTTTTTAATTAAAAGTTTAAGTATTATTATTAATAATTACAAATACATTAAAAATAACAACTAAGGAACTATTTTAAGCAGTTCATCCGAATTTAAAAATAATGAGCAAAAAAAATTATAAAATTATGATCTAAGAATTACATCGTAATCAAATTAATCGGAAAAAGAAAAATCTGTTGTTTTTAGTGCGTTGTTCATATTGCGATATACAATTAAAATTATTTTTTTCTTAATAAACACGTAAATGACGTCATAGCGCGAATCGCCTAGTTATCCAAAACTTTTAAGTTTCTTTGATTTAAGAACAGCGCGTTACAAAACTAATAAAGTATTTCACCCTTCTTTAAAGTAAAAGTAAAAAATGTAATTGATTGCTCTTTAAATTGATAATAAAACACACAACACTTTAAATAGCAGATAAATACTTCTCTGTTAGTGATGTTAGAAACGTAAATAAAATTACATAAATCCTTCTTTTTAAAGTTAGGAATTGTGATGTGGTTTTGCAATTGCAGGTAGAAAATATCGCAAATGACCTACCATTATAATCCCGATAACATCGGGTCATTTATTCTAGTACTTCATATTAGCTTATATGTTAAATACGAAATAAAGAGATATAATTTTAATAAACGGTTATATGTAAATTACAATGTTACACTGTAATAATCTAGACTTTCTTGTCTTGATTCACCTTACCCAAATTTTAACTCCCTTTCACAATAGCCTATGTGCAGATGATACCTAACACCCCTTCCACGCTGTTTTATAATATGCATTTGTGTATTTCTGAATGTCTTTTTAATCAATAAAAATAGATTTTAATCGAAATAAAATTGTTACTCCACATTATTAAAATTTAACAAATACATTTAGTTGTTGCTTTTTTTAATATAATAAAATAGAGAAATATAATAGGGTAAAATTTTAAAGAGCATAATTTGCATTCATTTATCACAATCATTTATACTTGTGATCTACATTATTTTCGTGAGTCAGACTAACAAGACTTTTCTAGAGTCCAATGAAAAACTAAAAGTTTTTCAATTTTTCATGATTGTTAACACTGACGGCACGTGACAGTTAACAGTGTCTTGTCCATGTAGCTAAAGATTTTATGTGACTTTAAAAGATGTGGAGTTTTGCGCCGCCAGTTAAAATCTCGATAGTGAGAGCAGGCTCTATACCGCTGCATGTTATACTCATATAGTGTCTCTGGTTTTTCATTTTTATTTTACTTTAGCAGTTTAAATCGTTTACATATTTTTAATAATTGTAAAGTTCTTAGAGCTGTAAGGTAAGCGCTATACAAAAATGCCTAAATAAATAAATAAATAAAATATATCTGATACGTTACACTCAAATATTGCAAGATTCTTTAAAAATACTCACTTTTATTTTGAAGACACCAAGCACACATCAGTAATAGTGAAATGGACAAAGCTGTGCTCAGCGCTATGGCTACTATCAGCGTAGTTTTACCACTTATATCATCATTTGCAGCACTGTTGAGGTTCTCTGTGGGTAAAATGATGCTTTAAGAAAGGCCTGCACAACTCAAAATGTTAGGCGGGCCGTAATATTTTATGAAAATGTTGTGCGGGCCAAAAGAAAATATGACAGGGTGGAAAGCTATTAAGAAAATAATAAGAATAAAGAATATTTCGTTGCTGCGCGGGCCGCAAAGTGGGTGCTGGCGGGCCGCGAGTAGCCCGCGGGCCGTATGTTGTTCAGGCCTGTTTTAAGTTATTACAGTTATGTATACAGCAGTTGTTTTTTTTTTGTTTTTTTGTTTTTTAACTTCATCACAGAATTCCCTCTAAATTTATTTTTTACGTATTTAGTAGCTATTTTTCGAAAATGTAGGAATTTGTCATAACTTACAATAAATAAATCACTATAAACCTTCTATCTATCTATATTTCAAATCAAATTATTCCAATAATTTTAACCGAAAATTTAGTATTTCAAAATTGGAAATTCTATAATTATTGTGAGCAAAACATAATTTGAAGTTAAACATCCCGTACGCTTAAATCCAATTAAATATTTCAAATCATACTTAAAAACGCCTCTAACTGAAAATTAAGATTTTTAAATAACATAAAATCGCTTACAGATGACTGAATATGTCAAATCTTACCTTTTAAAAAAAAAAAAAAAAAGTTCTGAACCAATGTTATAAGAATGTTGTAAGTGATAAAGGGAAAGAAAAAGGTGGGGTTGAATAGCAGGAGAGGATGTAGGCCGCCACAGGGGGAGGTAAGAGATGGATGTTCGCTATCATTTCAAGTAATACATTTAAATGAAAAAATCAGGGTAAAATGAAAAGAATGTGTCATTTTTTTAAATTAAAGCATGCATAAAGAAATGTTAAGTTTCAAAATGCTGTGCTGCTGTTTCCTTTGAGGTGTGGGATTTCGGGGTGGGTGGAAGTGGGACGTTCGTGCTTGTTGCAGACTGGATGAGATTGAATTGGGGAAACAAGGTAAGGGGTGGGCATTGAGGCAAGCTACAAGAGGTCAAATAGGCAGGTGTTATTTGACCTAATTTACGTCGGATTTTTAGGGGGTTTTCTGTATTGGGTTACGTTCCCTTTACATTCTTTTTGTTGAGCAGGGTTAAATGTGTTAGTTTAAAAAGTCAACAAAAAATTATTTAAAGTTATTGGACTAGTTTGTTATTGTCACTACGCTATGACTACACTACATTAATTACAGTCAATGCAACCCACCTATCCCATCCCCCAAATTCTCAATTGCCAGGCCTGATGTTGGATATCTGTCACCACAACGAAGTTAATGTTATAATGTTATCAAGGAGAAACAGCTCTTAAAGGGAATGGGAATCACTGAGTTAAACCATTAAACTAGAAAGTATCGTTCATTAATTATATAGAGACCTTAGTGTTGAAAGTACTAAGACTTAATTCATAAAATACTTATTTTGAGATCATCAAGTTCAAATATTCCTTTCGTATATAAAAGTTTATCATTTTCATATTTTGTCTGGTTAAATTAAGAGACTTAGGCACATTTTATTGTGTTTAACTGTGTGCTGTTTATTTAGCTACATCGGATAAGAAAAGGTCACAGATAAGATTAATTTTGACAAAAATGTGACCCAAGTACTTTTAGCACTAGAAGATAATTCTTGGAACGTGATGGATTTCACGATGTTCATGATGATTTATTTCCAAATATAATTCAGTTAACTTTGTAGTAAGAAACATATGATTATGATTACACTCTCCTCCATTTCAAGCATCACGCTTCACCAGGGCCGTGGCAAGCATAAACCTTAAGCTGGGGGGGGGGGGGGGTAAGGGGGGGGGAGTCCCAAATTTACGTACCCTCTTCCCAAAAAGTATAGACCGTATTATTATTTTTTTAATACATATATTTTGCATGAAATATTACGATTTCCTGAAGATGGCGCCATGGCTGGGAGCCACTTTGCTCCTCTTTCGCACCGCCCTGTTTTTTTTTTTGTGTTTTTTTTTTAATCAATTGTGACTAATGAACGCGATGTTTCATGCGGAAGTCAATTTATAAATCCTTTGAATATTTGTCCTTACAATGCTAGTGGTTGAACTTTCGCTCAAAACTGTAACGCGTTGACACATTGATTTCACTTAGTAATAACTTCAGGGTGTGATTAAATATGATTGATGACGGCTTAGTCAAGAATTTTATTTCTCATTGATGAATTTGATGTCTTGTTCATAAAATGCAATACCGTATAAAATATTCAAATGAAATAATTCATCATAAAGATTTATGATTTAGTGATTATCATCAACGTTAGGCCTATATTTTATAATTTAGAAATTGTGCCCAATAAAATGTGAGTAATTTCTTTAAAAAATTTTTTTTTTTAATCCTACAAAATTAGAGCGACACTAAACGCTAATGAAGTTCCTATTATCCCCACGCTTCCAACGTTAAAAAACCTCATTAAAAACTGTTAAAATATTTTATTAGGTTGCATTATATGCTTTTGTATGATATTAAATTAATGGCCTTATATAACCTTGTTGTAAAAATAGCTTAATAATGGTGTTAAATTTTGAGATTCGCAAATGAAATTAAAGCTTATGTCTATACTTAAAACGTTTTGTAATGTTTTATAAAAAATTAAAATAAAAAAACAAATAAAACTATTCATAAAACTGTAATCAGACCAAGTGTAACATACGCAAGTGAAACTAGGACCCTAACAAAAAACGGCAGAAAACGTATTAAATAAAGTGGGGAGAAATGTTCACCGGAAAATATATGGACTAACAAAGGAAGAATATGGATGGAGAACACGAACCAACGTGGAATTATATAATCTAAATAATGTCACGATCCCATGCTAGTAGCACGATTTAAAAAAATGGTAGACTACGCTGGCAAGGACACTTAGAAAGAATGCCAAAAAGGTTTCTTTCAGCTATATCCCCGGGGGGGGGGGCAGTGCCCCCGGGAAAGACAAATGCCCCCCCCCCTCGGAGCAAAAATATATCCAACAATAAATCAACTGGAACTGCTCGCACTGCTCCCCCGAAAAATCTGAAGTTCCCCCCCAAAAAACCTGAAGGCCCCCCCCCCCCACCCCGAAAAACCGAAGGGCCCCCCCCCCCCCGGGGAAAATTTCTGAAAGAAACACTGATGCCAAATGGCAGAGGAGTGAAGAGGGAGCGTCACCAACACCCCAGAGGAAAACCGCTCAAACGCAGACTTGGGCTTAGACGGGTGGATGATGTGGAAAATGATCTACAGCAGCTGGGAATCCAAGCTAAGAAAAGCATTAGTAGGTCTGAGTGGAAGAAGTAGTGAGGCAGGCCAAAGCCCTACATGGGCTTTAGCGCCAGAGAGTCGGATGTATATGCTTAAAATGGAATTTAAGTTGTATATTTAATAATTTTAAATTTAATAATACCTTACCACAGAGAATGATTTCAGTGCAACATAAAATTGTGAAGGCCGAAAGAACAAATTCTGTATTCATTGCAATTTTTAGACCAGATACTCCACATTTGAGAGAAAATGTAGGCATACATTCAACATAGTTTTTTCAAAAAGTCTTTTAGTGTACTCAAAATGTGTTGTTTAACTTAGATTCCTGGACAGATACAGAAACTTATGATCATTCACGACCTAAAATGAGTAATTGGAACACACGCACAGTTCAAAAAGAATACTCCGTTTAAATTAAATAGTATTGATGTTTTTTGTTTTTTTTTGTTTTTTTTAAACAAATTAAAAATTAAAAGGCAACCAATTTTTAAGAGATATAAAATCACAAGTTGAAAAAAGTACATACAAGAAAATGAAAACGTTCATGTATTTTTGTGATCAACAATGAACCTTTGATAAGTCTTTTCAAGTGGCGTGATCTAGTTATGATACACTTCTTCAACTCTTCTCAAAATAGAGTCACGCTAACAAAAAAGATGGCTTTAGCAAAAGACACTGGAGAAATATGCATGCAGAAATGTTAGAAGCAGAAGAAAGTGCTTAAGAGACATTAGAGTTTATGTGCCTTATGATGGAGATCAAACAACACACAAATAAATTTATTCATTAATTTTTGTAAATGTTTTCCATTCATGGGCAGTATTTGCTGTAAGATTAATTAAAGATAAAGTACAATGTGGCATTGAAAAGTTCCGAGACTGAGACCTCATTTGTAGTCAGTGACGTAGCCAGGATTAGGCCATCCGAGCTATCCCCTCTCCTTTTTTTTCAATGAAAAAGCAGCAGTTGATCAGAATATTCCGCCCCTCGTTATAAAGGTTTCATATGGCCCTGCTTTTTTAAACAGATCACCCAACACCGATTGTAACTAATAGTATAGGATGGCTCTGCCGAGAATGACTAAAGCAAAGCAATGGATGAGTGGTTTGCATTTAATTCCGCGAAACTGTGGTTTATTTGCTTCAAAATAATTTATATTGCTTTTTTTAAAATTTGTTTTCTATTGGAAAAGGGGTGGGGGAGATTGCTGTGAGCCCCAACACTAGTAAAAGAATTGGGAACACTTTTAAAACCAAATGACAGTTAGATGAAGAAGACGTTTATTAGATGGCAGCAGAAAACTTTGAAAACATTAGGCTTAAATGATCCACCCATTTCGACCCCGTTTTAGCAATCCACGGCCTATTCATTGCGAATGCGATAGGAATGAAATCTGGAGCTGCAAGTAATCATCCCACTGTGCCTGAAGATGCACATCGGTGGTAGAGTTGTTACAACGTTGTATCACCAAGCAGAGGAGACTTCGGCTGGCCCTTGAGCTTCCTTGGGCTCACTAGCGTCACACAAAATTCCTCACGGATCATCACGGGTTACAACTTTAAGCAATAAACTCGATAATTAAAAAAAAAAAAAAAAAAAAAAAAAAAAAAAAAAAAAAAAAAAAAAAGAAACGAGTGTTAAAAGTGCATTTTAAATCTGCTCATTTTCAACAATTTTATGAAGAAAATCTAAACTGAATCACAGGTGGCATTGAATTTCCTTCAAGAAAGGGCGTTAATGCTGCTTTCATAGGAATCGACCACTTTTAAATAAGATAAGACAGATGTTATTTTTTAAAGTTTTGCCTCGCATTTTTCCAATACAAACTAATATATTTATTGTCTTGCGTAAAGTCTCTATCGTGATTTAAGCTTCAATGTTACAGACAGAAATGTCAAAGTGTTAATAAAAAAATAACAATAAAGCCTAAACGCCAGCCATATATTTTTATTCATCTCCGCATTAATCCCTATCAGTTTATAATTTAAAAAACCAACATTAAAATGACTTGTTATTAGCATGATAAAAGTAACAGGAAGTAACAGGAAGTAACAGGAAGTAAGGACTTACATTTTGAACAGGGAAGTTAATAACTACAAAGACTCATTTTTAATTAATTAATTTTTTTTAATTTGTGGCCAATTTTTCTAGTTGCAAATTTTAACACATAGGGTATCTAATGAAATATCTAATATAAAACTATTTAAGAGGTATGTTTGCAAACGTTATATTTTCTAAGTCATGAAAATGAAGCTAATAGCTTTTAAAATGACATTATTAAATTCAATATGGTTATAGTGACAACTGTATATGAACATACATTTTCAACTATTAGACGCATTGTGTGCAAATTGAGTGGTGTGTTATAATCATGTGAACTACTGTAAGGTCATTAAGTTGGCCAAAGGTCGAGTGGGTCAAAGGCCATTAGTGATCTGCTTGAAAATCTCAAGCAAAGGGAGCAAACCTCAATTAAAACTCAATTATTGCCTGTATAGCCTAGACAGCAACAGAAGTCCCAATATAATCTAATGAGTGTAAGCCCAATATATTGACAATGCTATTATTAGTCTGATAAAGAAATTTTTAGTTTAAAAAAATAAAATCACTTATTTTAAAAGGGTTTGACTGATTGAGTCTTAAGCAGATTAAATATAAAAACCATTTCTGTGATTAAAAACAGTAGAATTATGATTTAATTAAATGAAATTATAGAAGTGTTAATGTTTGACAGCAAAACTAAATTTGCAATAATTTAAAATAAACTATACACAATAATTAACATAAAGTATTGATATATTACATCAACTAGACCATAATATAAATGATTACCAGCACTGGTGTTGGTAGAAAGGTGTTGGGGTGAGAGAGGGGGGAGTTCGAATTAGGAGACCCAATTTTCCCACTCTATTCCCTACAGTCATATGAGTATGCTTGATGTGCAATCTATGCAACCAGTATTGAGATTATCATGAGTGATGGGTTCCAAAGTTAAGGAACCCAGTATGCATGCAACACAACATTTGGCTACTCAGCAATACATCTTTGATGATTGATTTTTGAAAATATATTAAATAATGAGCACTTGAGATCAGCATGATAATGGGGAATTCTTTCCCACAAAGACAAAACCAAAAGATATTTCAATTGTTCCACATCTGTCAGATTTTTCTAATGTGTTTCCCTGGCTGTGGGAAAAGAACAGAATAATACCATTGCTTAAATCAATAGAACAATATTATCTTATCTAAAAAAAATTGGCAAAAAATACTTCGTTATAAACTACATCTTTTTAATAGCAGGAAAAAATAATACCGGGGTAGTTAAAAATAAATAATGTCATTTAACTACAAGATTACTGCTATGTGTGTTACATGCTCTAAAATGTCAGAGTCACATATTTGTAATTACCTTTTCATTTCATTTCTTTTTGTAAATGAAATATATTTTAGTTTTTTAAACAAAGCTATATAGCCAAACTAGTTGGAAATTATTTTTTACTCATCCACAAACAATATCTTCTTTACACAATACAGAACAGTATTTGTCATGATTATTGACTAGATGCATAACTTAGGAAATTTTAACATTGGTAACCTTTCAAATTTACACATCTGCACAAAATGTACTTGAGTGAAATAAAGAGCATAAGTCAATGCTTATCAATTACTATATTTAGATTTAAAAATATAATATATAATATCACATAAAAATAGAAGTTTTTTTTTTCTTTTTTAAAACTTTACTAGTATACAAAAATTGCACAAAAATACCCACCTAAATCAAAAGATAAAATATAAATTAATTAGCTCTCTAGGAAAAGCTTCATCCCTCAAGTTTTTAGACATTCAATGGCTGCCACTCTCAAAATAAAATTTACAAATAACTGGATTAGGTGATTTCCATTGTAAGTGATGTAACTTTCAGAAAAATAATTCCAATTTGCATACAGCATAAATGAAAAATGATGTTAAATGTCCTTACTTAAACTTTATGTGCTTTTGTGTCTTAATGTGGTAGAGTCTAAATTAATAGCATTTATAACTATTAAATATTTATATATTTAGCATGAAAGAAAGATTTAAGAACAATTATTGTAATTGTAACTAGCTTGACCTAAAAAAGACATTGTTGATTTCCTATGAAATCTATTTCAATTTAAATATACTTTAAAACATTATTATCTACACTTAACTAAAACGTTTTCTTTTTCTAAGGAAAACCTATTAAAACTATTTAGAACAACCTTTGTTTTTAAAATACAGACAAAATAATTTACCTGACTTTATAACTGATCTAACACATCGGAATGCAAGCAATAAAAAATAGCACATCAAAGTCAGTTATTTAACAGAACTAAAAATACTTCACTATATCAGTTATAAAAAGTTAAATAAAAATAAATAATATTGTTTAAAGCTTGTGATTCGGGTAACATTGACAATGATAGTGAAAGTTGTCTGTCTATATTTATAAGATGTAATAAAATGTGCAGACATGTTGTTAATTCAAGGTGACCAACAGGTTAAGCTAATCAAAGATACTAAAAATGACTCCATACCAAGATGCATAAAAAAAATTATATAACACCAAATTTAATGAAATTAATTTTTTTGGATTTTGTGTCCTCTTTAAATGGAATTCCCCATTAAATCAATTTTTAAAAATTGTTAAGCTTCTTTTAGGGGCCCAAGATATTTGATAGAATTAATATTTATGTCTTCTTAATTGTTGATAAATGCAATGAACAAAAATCATTTAAATTTCAAGTGATACAAATTTTGTTATTAAATAACAGACACCATAACTTTGAAAAAAGTAACATTTTCTATTATTAGAGAAAGAATAATAATTATCAGTTTAAGGACATAAAAAAATAAAGTCTCAGAGAATGCAGAGAATCTAATATAGAAAGGAAATAAAATTAAATGTTGAAATTAATGAAGTGCACAAAAAAATTAATTGAAAATTTAAACAGTGCCATTATACTGTACTGCATTAAATGGTGAAGATTAGAATGGGTAAGGTTAAATTATTGTTAAATTATTGGTTAAATTATTGGTTAAATGAATTTAAATAATTTTTGGATTAAACAATTTTTTTTCGTGTACAAGTCATTCATGGTACCTGGTATTTAAAAATGACTCAGTGTTGCTAGCGCTGGCTCACAGAATGACAAAATGCAATCTTTGCATTTTGTAAAAAGGTATTGCAACATATCAAGAAACTTCTCTTTTTCTTATCAGGTAATTTAAGTTAATGAGTTGAGATATTTTCATGCGTGCAAATAATACTAATGTTTAAGAA